ATGGAACCCATTCCCTCTCATTTGAGGGGTTTTTTTTGGAGGAGGAGTGGGTACTCTCCAATTTTTGTCCCATACCATCAATTCTATAAACATTTTTTCTTCTACAGTGTAGGCTCTTTAAGAACACACTTTGCATCCAACTCATTTCTGTATTGGCTGGGACGACTACAAAATCTTACTAAATTAGGCACTCACAGGTTTTGTTGAACAAATGAATAGGCGACTCACGGACTTGTACCTTCACAATCATCTCTTCCCCTCCATAATCTGTGACCTGAAGGTTCCAATGGTATTTGATACACATATAGACATTTAAAACTAATAGTAACTTTTTGGACTTAGTGTTACAGATTCCACAAACCACCCAATTAACCTATTTGTTATAAGAAATAACCACTTCAATATCTACGTTTTCTCCTATGTGTATGTATACATATCACACAATTGTCATGAGGATTAAATAAGATAGAAGAAGGAAAACCTCTCAGGAAAGCTAAAAGGGCACATAAAAATGGAAAGTCTTTCAGCATTAGCATCGTTTTAGGGAGCCTGTTAGTTCTCAGTAACAGCTATATGTAACAATGCCACTCAGCCACCAGGGGGCTGAGTCACGGTATCCAGCGGTTCTACAAAGAGGACATAGCAGGGAACAAAACAAAAGCTGTCCTCATGGAGGTTATATTCTCCTGAGGCAAGTGGTCATAAATAAACAAGCAAAAATATAGTATGGCTGATGGTGAAAAGCGATATGGGAAAAATAAAGCAGGGAAGGGGCAGAAATGTGAGGAGGCTGCGATAGGTGGTGAGGGAAGGCCTCTCTGATAAGAGGACCTTTCACAGAGACAGCAGGAGGTGAGGAGGCCAACCACGTGAACAGCCAAGTGAGGGCATCCGGACAGAAGCAGCAGCAGGTGCAAAGGCTCCACAATGCAGTGAGCTTGGAAGGTAGGATGCACAGCAAGGAGGGCAATGAGGCAGGTGAGGAGGGAGAGAGGGCAGGTGGAAGGAGATGAGGTTGGAGGGAGGGGGCGGTCATGTGAGGCCTTGCAGACTTTGGGTCTCACCCAGTGACTTAGGGAGGCCTTGGATGGTTCTAAGAAGAACAGAGACATGTACAATATATTAAGAGGACCATTTTGGCTCCTGTGTCAACACTAGGCTATGATGAAGGGCAAGGGTAGAAGCAGAGACTCTTGTTAGGAGGCTGCTGTAATCATGTGGCTGGCATCCAAGTAAATGTGGACATGGTGAGAAACAATCCAACTCTCAATATATTTTGAAGGTATGGCTGGTAGGATTTTCTAATGGACTGGATACAAAGGATGAAAGAAAGAAAGAAGTCAAAGATTTTAGACCTGAGTAGCTAGAAGCTGACATTTATCAGGATGGGAAAGACTTTGGGAAGACTGGGCAGTCTGCTATGGATGTTGTTAAATTCAAGATGCTTATTAGATATCTGACTGAAAGAATGGAATAGGCAGGTAGGTATACAAGTCTGGAGCTGACAAGAGAGGTCTGAGCTAGTGACACACAGGTGGTAGTTATTAGAAGATACAGAGATAATATTTAATGCCATGAGATTAGACAGACTAGTTAGGGTCTGAGTGAAGATAGAGAAGAGGTCTGAGGACTGATCCCTGGAGCTCTCCAATGTGAAGAGGATGAGCAGGTGAGGGGAAAATCAGCAAATAATTCTGAGAAGGAAAAACAAGTGAAGTAAGGGAAGAACTAAGAAACAACCCTATTCCAAAAGCCTAGTGATCACAGTGGTTCAAAGACAAGAGATGACGCAATGCTGCAGGGAGACCAAGCAAAATGGCACGAGAACAGACCATTAGATTCCGCAACATGGAAATTAAGGTCTCAACCAGAGATACTTTGGTGCAGCGGTGAGAAAGAAAGCCTGAGTGGAGTGGAGTCAAGAGAGAATGGGAAGACAGAATGGGAAGACTGAATGGGAGATAACAGGTAAAGGCAACTCTTCAGGAGAATTTAGCTGAAATAGAAAAAGAGACAACCTGAAGTTATGAGAAATGGGAGAAGGAGGCATTTGTCTAAGTTTGTAGTATAAAAGATTTTGCTGACATTTTCCTAGATAATATCAGCCAAACTAATACAGTGCACACACTCATCTTGGTCTACTTACTTCAGTATTTCAAAAAGTCACACAGACACTGTTCTATTGAGAAAGGGTAAAAGGCTGGATTAGCCTTTTTTTGGAGCTCCAAAGAGAGCTATTCCCTTTTTATTGGTGACCCACAGAAAACAAGACAGAGTTGTTAGCCCTGTGCATTAGCATAGAGTGACCTTTAAGGCTGCCCTCCACTGCAAAATCATCTCAGTGTTACCATCTTTAATGACAAAAATATCTTCCTGGACTGCATGGCAGGTTATATCAGGGCCTTGTATTTGAGGGGCTTTATGTCTTCGTTTTCCCGATGAGAGAATTCCAGAAAGCGTTACCTCTTCCTGACCACAACAATACAGTTTCACCATTTTTTAAGTGCATGTGGAGACTAGCCACCCTCTCTAGGAAGTTTCTTCTACAGAGGAGCCCCAACTATTCCATCTAATTCTCCCTTTTAATGCACTAAAGCATGAGTGGCTCTCAACCATATGTATCTCTAATTAAGAATCTCTGTACTAGAGTAATTACTGTAACTGTTTCTGTTGATAACCATCTCCCCAACCCCTCTGTGATAGAGTGTACTATTTGTTCACAATTATTTGCCCATGATTTCCTGTTTGTCCCATTATCTTTGGGACAAAGATAGCCATGTGACTTGTTTTGGCTACTGGAATACGAGCAGCTGTGATATAAGCCACATTTAAGCAAAAACAAAATATGCTTGTGTGGTTTAGGTCAATGCTCCTTTTGTGAGTATCTATCTGCCCTCTACCATGAGAACGACATGGCCTGCGTGCTGGGTGTTTCTTCAAACTCGGCTCTGAAATGGGATGGCACGCAGAACCCGGTTGAGCCCAGAAGAGCTGCAGCTGGCCAACATCCTCATATACCTCAAGCCAGATGTAAGTGTTTCTGGTTTTAAGTCACTGAGTTTGGGATTGTTTGCTTCTGTAGCAAAAGCTGACTGTACACTCTTTTATTAGGTTGTCCTATTCCTCAAGTGAAGGAACCATGTTTCTTTTTTATGATATGCCCTCATACCCAGCACAATGCTCTGAAAATGTGGGCCCTCATAAGCACACACAATGGGGTAAAGTTCATCATGTCTACTGTAGCTTGGTTAGCTAAAGTTTGAAATCAGTTCATGGATCCTATCACTAACACATTGGCCTCACCATCATGATGAGCTCCTTAAAGTCATGTTTAAAGTCTTTCTCACCCTGCCTTCTCATTCCTTAATTTTGCTCTACTAAGTTATGGCTGATTGACCAAGAAAACTCAAATAATTTAGGTTTCACACAAGGGGAGTTGGGTCTTGGCCATCATATATACTGTTTCTATTCCAAGATGCCCCAAATGGTTAAGGCCAAATAGAGAGAGAGAATCTGCTCTAAATGTGTGTGTGACTTAGCTGTATGTCCAGTTTAAGACAGGCCATAAGCCTTTGCCCAGGGGGCCTTGCTGCAGAGAAAACAGTCCAACTCTTGCTTCATCTATCCAGTAAATTCTCCTACCCTGTGCAGAGACCATTTAGGCATTGTGCAGAAATCAGAGACAGTATAAGGCACAGTTCTGGGCTTCAGGGGACTTGTAATTGAAGAGACAGGATGTATGTGTAAAAGTCTAAGACAATCAAGAGTTGGTTCTTTACAAGAGGTCTTGTGGTATGGTAGGAAAGTGTTGGTTTGAAAGTCAGGAGAACTGGTTCTAATCATGCTCTGCTGCTGGTTAAGTTACTGTGAGAACATCTTTTCACTCTTTTGTGCATGTACAAAAAGGACTGAGCAGTTTCATGTGAGGTCCTTCCCATATCTATGGTTTTATGACTCTAAGAGATATCACCAACCAGTATAACATCACCCAGTGCTCTGTCTCTGGAGGATGTGATAAAGGCTGGGTGTTCAGAGGACCTCTTTGTTTTCCCGATCCCTGGCTCCATCCCCAAACTGGTTTGCTTTCAGCCTGGTCATAGGGATCTCGTCTGACTTAATTCTTGGTCCAGATCCGATGGAGCTGACTCAAGAGTGCAGTTTCTGCAAACAGGTCCAGAATTATGCTAAGATACCACAAATCAAACTGTCCAAAAGCTGACTTAGCCCCCAGGAGCAACTTGGGCTGGGGTTTGCTGGAGCTGATGCAGGCGCCTGAAGCTGCTGTGTTCAGCGCCTAGGGCTCATCCATAACAGGTTAGGATTCCAGAGGCAGAGTGGAAGGGGGGCTGTTCACGTGACTGGTACCCTGATAGACAGTATCTCTCTAACCCCCTTCTGCTCGTTTGGGATTACTGAACACCCTCCACCCCTTGGGTAAAAAACCAGTTCTCAAAACGACAGGCAGAATCCATAAAGAACAGGTCTTCCGAGGCCAGAGATGCCCCGTCTGACATGAAAGGAGGGAGGAGGTGGAAGAAATGGGAAAATAAGTTTTAGAACATCCACTTGTGCTATCCTGATTGTTCTCTGGAAAAATACTGAGATTAGAGTTAATTTCATTGGTTAAAATGCCCTGCAAGCCTTGGGGATTAGCTGTGTCTGCTCACCTGGCTCTTTTTGCCACAAATGTATTTAAATTCCCAGTCTAGAACTTTGCAGGCATTGCTCAGACGGCCACAGGATTGTTTTCTCTGTGTAGGCTGTCTTCATTTGGCTGTGTGAGTGCTGTTTTTAAAAATTTTTTCCGTAAGTGTTTACAGGAGCTGGGACCACAGTGTGTTTTAATGGACTCACATCAGAATTGGGTTTTTAAAGCAAAGGAACTCATTTAGGAAAAACCTCCATTTATATGAAATCAGGTTCCTTTGCAAAGTGCTCTTGGCATTTGGGTGAAGGAAAGTGAAGGGTGGTGACAACAGAAGAAGAATGGCTCTACTTACTCGGGACTCCAGACACCAGCCGCAAGGGGCGCAGCACGCGGAACGCCCTCAGCGCCTTCACATCAAATCCAGCCCCTTTCCCTCCTAGAGCATTTGCCCCGTCAGCTTTGGTTGCTTGTTCTAAAATTGCACTAAAAAGCCTGGAAGAGAGGAAGGAGAGAAGGAACTGTCAGGACAGTGCTTCTTTGCCCAGCTGGGCTCTGAATTCTCTGAAAGAAGCCTGGGATAGCAGAGTTTGTGACTGTCTCCACTCCAGGAGCAGTTGCTGAGGCGTATTCCCAGGAGAGTCTGTGACCACCAGAAATTGACAGTGCGTCAGTGTGGGAATCACCTTGGCCATGGGCATGACCTTCGCCCAGAGAGCTCTGAGGGAGGCCACTAGCAGACCATTTGCCATCATGAAGCTCTGAGAACACATCTGGCTTTGTATGAGCTAAGCAGCCCTGGAGAGAGTAAAAAGCAAGTGAAGTTTGCTGCACCTTGGCCAAGGTGCAGCAAACTTCTCTTTCCGGTGCCCTCTGACCCCCTCTGTGGTTTCCTAGCTCCTGACCTCCTGTAGCCTGGAACCACATCCTTTCTCCTCCCAAGCTCTTTGATTTGTACCTGGGCACCAATAAAGGATCTTAAAGAAATCTGTTTAGTGCTGGCACATAACAGATGCTCAAAGGAAATATGCATGTGTTGAACAAATAAATGAATAATCGAGTGGTTAAATGAATAAGTTTCCAGTGGAGGCAAACCTATGCATTAAGGCGTGTAACCGAGACATGGAAATTTCAGCCGTGTCACCCTTGTGCTTCTGCTTATATATCCATTCCTCCAACAAACCCAAACATCTAGTATGCACCCAGTAATGTTCTAGACCCTGAGGCCCCACCAAAATACAATCCTTACTCTCTTGGAGTTCACGTTATAGTGTCAGACAATAAACCAAATAATCAATAAGTGAATATCATATTTAGAGAGATAAATGCTAAGGGGACACATGCAGCAAGGAAGGGGGACCTGGAGTGGCCAGGGTGGGAGGCCTTCCCGTTTGATATCAAAAGGCTGGTAAAGGACTATCTCCTACACTGACATGTGAGCAGAGACCTAAAGAATGCGCAGGAGTGGAAACAGAGCTCGGGGGGGTGACTGCCCCAGGCAGAGGGCACATGGCAGTATGGTACAGGGATGAGTGGCAGAGTGGCCGGTGTAAAACGGTAAGTAGAGTACCGTGGGAGATGAAGTTAGAGGGGCCCTATGGTTTTCTCTGAGTTGGAAGGTACCAGGGGAGTTTGAACAGGAGAGCAGCATGATTTGACTACAGTTTTAAAAGAATCCCTCTGACGCTGTGCGAAGAATAGCCTGCATTGGGACAAGGCCAGGGCAGGCTGCGCACTAGCCCAGGGCGGGAGGCACAGACCAGGGGTGGTGTTGGAGGTAGTAGGAAATAGTTGGATTGTGGATTTCTTTTAAGGTACATGTGGTGGGATTGGCTGATGAACTAGATGTGAAGTGTGAGGAAGGCAGAAGAATAAAAGACCATTCCAACGGTTTTGGTTTGAGCAACTGGAAGGATGAGGTGTGCGGGGTGCACATCAAGGGTTTTATTTAAAGTGTTGTGAAGTTTGAGTTGTCAGTTTGACATCCTGAATAGGTTTTATTGGGTCTGGAGTTCTGGGGGGTGGGGACTCCATGCTAGAGACAAAAATTTGGTATTTGTATAGATTGTATTAAAGTCAAATCCTGCAGGACTGCCCAGGAGGCTAGTGTGGAAAGTGAAGACGTGACAGAACTGAGCCCTGGGGCTCCAACATTGAGGGGTCAAGCAGAGGACAAACCGGTAAAAGAGACAAGAGAACAGAATGGGGGAGCTGTGAAGGAAGTGGTTTTGGGAAGGCAGTGATTAACTGTGCAAGTGCTGCACATACAAGGATGGCACTGACCACTGACTAGCAAATGAAGACCCCTGAGACCTTGAAAACAGGTTTTGGTGGAGTGATGGGGGCAAAGCCTAACAGATAGGAGTTCAAGAGAGGACGGGAGGAGAAACTGAAGACAGAGGGAATAGACAGCTCTGTCCCATAGAAACATAATGCAAGCTGCAAATGTGAGCCACATATGTAATTTAAATTTTCTAGTAGCCACATTTAAAAAAGAAAAAGAAACAGGTGAAATGAACTTTGATACTATATTTTATATAACCCAACATAACCAAAATATCATTTCTAAATGTAAATAAACAATTATTAATGAGATACTTGTCACTGTCTTCTATTCTAAATCTTTGAAATCTACTGTGTATTTTACATGTACAGCATATCTCACTTCAGATTAGCCATATTTCAGGTGCTGAATGGCCACATATGGCTGGTGGCTGCTCTCCTCCTTTGAGGAATTTTGCTAAAAAAGGGAGCGGAGGAAAAACAGCAGTTACCAGAGGGGATATGGAATTAAGAGTTTTGTTTGTTTGTTTAAATCCTTACCTGAAGATATGTTTATTGTTGAAAGAGACAGACAGACAGACATTGATTGGTTGCCTCCTGTATGCACACCGATGATATCGAACCCCAAAACTATATATGTGCCCTGACTGGGGATTGAACCCACAGCCCTTTGGTGCATGGGATGATGCTCCAACCAAACGAGCCACCTGGCTAGGGCATGTTTGTTTCTAAATGGAGATATAGCTTCATTTTTGTGTATAATGGGATTCACTTAACAGAGACAGACAATTTTATGATGTAGACACAAAAGGGAACAATTATGGGAAGGACCAATGTCCTTCACTAGGCAGGATGGGGACCTAATGCACATTTAGGGATGCTGGCCTTATACAGAGGCAGCGAGGTCTATCATGGTTCTGGTAGGGAGGCACATTATAGGGCACAGGTGTGGTTGTGGGAGAATATGAAAATTCTCTTCTGATTGCATCTGTTATCCCAAGGAAATAGAGAGCAAGGGCATCAGCTGAAAATGTGAGAGGGGAGGAGGCAACAATGGCAATACAAAAAGAAATACAAGGGTATTAAAGAATCATAAAGAAAGTGGAAGAGTGAGTGAGTAGGAACATGTAGCAGGATTTCCAGGAATCGCAATGGGCCTGTTTGAGGTTGGCGGTCATGAGTGTAAAGTGAGACCCATCAGCTCAGCTTGCATATTTGTCTACCCATTTCAGTGGCACAGCTTCAGGCCCCCAAGAGATCTCCATCGAGTCAGATTTGACTTGGACTGGTGAGGCAAGATAAATGAAAGGAGGAATAGGAACTGACTATAAATGCAAGTGAAGGCTTGTAATGATGGGACGCGGCATCTACGCTGGTTGGGAGGACGCATGCACATGATGAGAGGCGGGATTGAAGGAATGTGGGAAGATGAATGGATTTGTTGGAGTTAAGTGTTAGAGGGAGCAAGCTGGAAAAATGGGTGGCACTGCTTAGAGAGTAGGATGTTTGGTTTGGGTTTCTAGGGAAGGTATACTTATTAGGCATGACAGGGATATTGGCCATACCATGGTAGTGGGCACCTGAGATAGAATGGATCCTAAGGAAGAAGTTATTGAAGAACCAAGAAGCCACTGGGCAGTGGTGGCAGGAGTAATGAGTGTAATGAGTATTGAAGAAAGTGAGAGTGAGCTAAGTGCTCCTGTCTTCAAGGAATGGGGAGTGACTCAAAGGCCTAAGGAGGGACCACAGTAAGGAAAGGCGGGGCATAGAAGTGTCTGATGACAGATATCAATATGGGAGGGTTTCAGTGGAACAGTGGTCTGAAAGCAGAAATACAGGGAAAGCTGGGCCTCTCTCCCGACCTCTGGGTTGTGGAATGAGGCATCTGGGAGAGACACCGGCTACCTCTAGAGACTGCAAGGGAAGCAGGCCCCTCAGGTTAGAGCCAGAAGGTGAGAGGAGTGATCAGAATGTAAATGAAGTTTGCCTGGAATTCATGGCATCCATCCTTTACATAATCACTGTTTCTTAGAGAGCTGGGACAGAGACTTGTGGCTCACAAAGCTGAAAGCTGTACCTGGCCCTTTATAGAGAGTGTCTGCAGCCCCTGAATGGGAGGTGGACTGCAGGAAACAGAGGCCACAATGGGAAGGATTCAGAACTGGGTGGAGAGGGAGAAGCATTTAGATCAGAGGATGCACAGACCATGTGGGATGGGAGTCTGGAGTCTTAGACTTTTTGTGGTAACCAAGAAAAATAGGGAAAAGGGTACGTGGGCAATTTCTGTCCTTTGCACTGTGAGATGACTCTACTGATTCACTGTCAGTAGAGGGAGTGCTGGGTCATGGCCTAGGGTCAAGACGGAAGTCCAGGTATCAGAACTGGGTCCCCTTATCACACCTGAACTCTGAGCCAGGGCAACTTCTTTTTGAGGTCTAAGCACAAGCCTTAAACAACTCATGCCCCAGGGCACTAGATCTGGAAACTGGAAGGCTGCCACTGCGGGCTTAACTTTGCAGGAGCACAGACCCAGCAATGATGAAGTTGGTCTAGATTAAGGATTTTCAAACTGTGTTCCATGGAACCCACTGGGGACATTATGGGCAGCGAGGCCAGAGATGAGTGACTGGGGCTCTGGCTCCTTTCCCTGTATTTAACAGAGTGGGACCACTTTGATCTGTTTTATGCATTGGGCCTTCGAATAAGGCTTGAACAACGGGTTCTGCAGCTCAAAGGAGTTTGATAACGACCACATCTAAAGTCTCTGCTCCACGATTCTTTCAGCTCCGCTTCGCAATCTGACAATTTCACATGATAGTTGGCGATGCCTGGAATCCCAGGAGAGGTTATCAGGATAGGGGAGTGGGCTGCCTGCTCCAGAGAGAAATATTCTTTTCACTCAAGTCTAGATCACTGAAATGGAGACCAGTTTGCAATTGGTCAAATAACATTCTAAATCCAAACCATATCTGGTTACTAGTATTTCCTGGAAGAAAGCAATATGCTTAATTGGAGGTCAAGATGTTCATGAAATATTCAGTGAAGAGAGTTGAGATAAGACAACTTCCCTCTCTTTTAACCCCTGCCCCAACTCGATGCAGACTCTTATTAAGTGTCTGTGTTTAATTTTGAAGGGGTAGAAAATGCAGAAACAGGCCTAGGGGATGCTTGTCTTGGTCTGCAGGAGCTGCTGTTTCTCCTTGATGAGACATTATGAAGGCAAAGTCTCTGTTTTGTGCCTACCATTCCTAAGGGCCAGGTTCAGATGTGTATGCTTGGGGCGGGATTTCCACAGGAGGTGTGTCTGGCAGTTCCTTAGCTGGACAGCAGAGCTTTTAAAAGAACAGGACAATGAGGCTCCAGAGTGCCCAGTGAGTCAGGGCCAACATATTAGGAGGATGAGAAAGATGTAGCAAAGGTCTTTGTGGCTACAGCAGAATCTCTCAGGCAGGTGGAGCTACTGAGGAATCCCCAGTTCTTGGGGCAGGGTCAGGGGAGATAACTCACAGAGGCCTCAGAAGTCCTCCCTACATTCACTCAACAGTACCATCTCCCCTTGTACCAAGGAGATAGCTCCCCTTTAGGAAGGAACTGTGTGGTTAGAAGGAAATGCCCCTTGTCACAGGCCACCAGAATGGCAATGCAAAGATGAGGGAGCAGCTCTCAACCTGGCACTCCGGTGTCAGACAGGTGTACCCACCTCTCCAGGGACATGGCAGACTCCCCTGATGTGCAGAAGGCCAGGAGAGCCCTTTCTTAAATAGCTGTGGGGGAGCCAAGGAGAGCAGATGTTTCCCAGGAGATGCAAGGGAAGCACAGGGATATCCATTTAATATTGCAAAGGCAGCAGGAGAGGAGGCTTGGCTGAAGACAGAATGCTGAGCTACACCTTCTGAGGGGTGCCCACCATTTTTTGTGTTAGTAGATTTAGACAGGACGGAAAGCCCCCAGGACCAATACCCACTGAGAGGAGAAAGTAGGTGCCAAATATGGCCAAATGTGAAACTGGTGGGGAAGGATTCAAAGGGTCAGGGAGACCACCAGGTGAGCAAATACTAGCATCATAACCCAAGTGGCTTCAATAGTCAACAGGGTAAGGGGGAATCTTTGGGAAGAACGCCCACCCTGGATGCCTCCCTTTCTTCATTAGCCTCATGGCCTAGACTCCAGAAAGATGTGACCAGAATCTGGTTGCAGGGAGGAGCAGGAGTCCAAGGAATGCGGTGAGGTCTATCCAAGCCAGAGACGAGCAGGGTCATCCAGTGCGCAGCACGTGGCCAGGCACCTGCTCCCTCTCGTCCAGGGCTCCTGCTGGATGCCTGCCTGGTGCCTCCTGTCCTTACCTCCAGTGCTGTAGTTAAGCCCGTGAATGGGGCACAGAGTTGGACCTGGTCAGCCTCGACTCATTCATAAAATGAGAAGACGAAGCATCTTTGCCCAAACAAAATTAGTCCCTCCAAGACACCCCATCTCTCTATGGCTCCCAGAAGCATCAGATCTCAGCCTAGAGCTCTTTTCCATATATATGTGAAAGGTTCCCTGGAGACTGAGGCCTTGATAAAGATGTTGGATTTAAAAAGGATTTCGGGGCATTTGGAACATTACTGAGTTAATTCAAGGCATTTGATGAGTCACTCTTTGTTTATTCAGGCATGAATAGAAGCAGCCAAATCTCTCATACCGATGCCTCTTTATTCCAGGTCCTCTGGAGCCAGATACATAACTGGCAAATACTCTCATTTTAGTGTTCCTCAAGCCACCCAAATATCCCTGAGGTTAATGTGGCCGAAGTTTGTCATTCAGTGGACAGGCAAAAAAGGACAACAAAGAAAAGCCCCCTGAACAGTTCCAAACAACCCTAACAAGCCATCCAGATGGCCAGAGACAAAGACATGACATCTAAATGACCTCAATTTGCTTCTGTCTTATTTCCTGTGGGACAGACCAGACGCTCCCATGAGCCCAAGTAGTGAGTGCTCTGGAGAAGTCTCCGGGGCCTCATCTTCACTGAGACAGCACAAAAACATTCATGAAAATAGTTTCTTTGGGATAAGAGTCAAATGACACATTGACCTTGACACTGATGCCCATTGGGTCTCCAGGGCAGTAAAAACGCAAGATGGCCACAACTGGACCACTCTCTGGACTCAAAGTAACAAGAGATAGCTCACAGAAGCCATCTTGTTTTTAAAGTGAAATCTTACTGCAAAGGTGCCCTCCCTTTACAAAACAGATGAGTTGTGGGAACATAGTCCACTGGGTGCTAATCAATTACATGTCACACAGCAGATGTAGGCTAGCTAGGTACAAATATTTGCTAGAGAATCTTTCTGTGAAGTTACTAATTGCTTGATAAGGAGATCACTTCTGAATTTTATTTAAGATTTCTTACATTGTTTTTTTTTCCCCTTTCCTCATCTGATACTAAAATGCAGCAGTTATGGGGAGGCTGTGTTTGATTTGAGTTTGGTCGCTTGTCACCTTGGTTCTTCACAGTTCCCCATTTTCTCCCCCCTCACCTGTCTTGTGCAGCCTGGTTTCCTTGGCCACAGAACAAGGTCCGCTGCAGAGGTGAGAATGGGCATCTAGAGTTCTTGTGTGCCAGCCCCAAACATGCCCATGGACCACATGCTCACAGACAAGCTGAGCTGAATCCGCTCAGTGGGACTGCAGGGAAGCTGGTCAGAGGAACTCTCAGGCTAGATGTGGTTGGAGATGGAATAAAACACCTTACGCAGAGCACTCTCTCTCCTCAGTTGTGTGAAAGCCCATGGGTTCCATTGAAAGCTCTCAGATTCAATTTGTGTGTGCGTGTGTGTGTGTGCGTGTGTGTGTGAGTACACATGTGCATGTGGGAGCAGTGGTGAGGAGGTTCCTAGGTAAGAGCTCCTCTCCCCTTGGAGAAAGTCTGAATTTAAAGAGATATTTAGTAGATACTCTCATCCTGCCTGAAGCCCAGTGCCAGCTGTGACCAAATCAAATATGCACATATGCATAGCTATGGACAGAGACTACAATGCGGTGAAGGAGGGCTTGCTGAGTAGAGAGGGCAAAGAGGGGAATGGGGACATCTGTAATAGTGTCAACAATAAATATGTTTTTAAATAAATTATTTAAAAAAGGAAATATAAATACAGAAGGAAAAAGAGGTATGCACTGGTTGGTGGCAGGAGCGAGGGGAGGAAATAGAGAAGGGTAGCGATACTTACCCTACAACCACAATGATAAAATCTAGTAAATTCCAACCATTGCGGAGGTAAGCATTAGGGTGAAAGAGAAGTCCATAGGCTATTACTTTTAAAAATGCTTCCACAGTAAAAATGATGAGAAAGAGATATTCCACTCGTTCCTAGGAAACAAAAATAGAAAAGAGAGAAAAGGAAAATCATTAGATTGGGGATTTATAAAGCTCTGCCCCAGCAGATCTCGTGAGGAGGTGGTGGGGAATGTTGTCTCGCCCCCACCCGCCCCACCCCCATGGGGGGAGTTAAGGAAACACTGGGTGGACCCCCCACCTCCAGGGCAAATTACTAACTCAACAGCTTGTTCCACTATTAGAATTCCAATCCACTGGGCATTAAGGTGTTTTTTTTTTTAAGTCTTCAAATGTCCTCTGTTAAAGTGTAAATATTAAGGTAGTCCAAAAATTACACATTTTGGGGGAAACAACTTATTTAGTTAATCAGTGAACATGTCATTTTACCTTCTCAGAAGAGAGCCCATAACATCTTGATCTAAAAGCAATGCCTGGACAGAAGAGAAGGGTGCTGAGAGAGGAGCGAGACAGGACCACAGGAAAAGTGCGCCACAATTTCAAGCTAACAAACCCTGAAGATGACAACACAGTCCTGGGGAGCGACTAGCTGAGTTCTCCAAAACAGAGCAAAGAACAGCTGCAAAGCAATGGAGACACCGAGGATCTCTCAACAGCAGCTGAAACAGGCAAAACTGCTTACACACACAGGTCCAAAAAAATTGAACTCCCTCTTTCCTGAGAAACTCTCTGTCCAAAGATAAAGAGCTGGTTAGCAGTGAAAATCAGCATTTCCAGGATGGAGGCAGGCATTGGGACAGGAACAGAGAATGGAAAACTCTCATCTCTTTTCTCAAGGGATGAAGGTAGGTAATCTTTTCCTCTCTCTACCACCTTGAAGAAGAGCCTTGCATTTAAGGCTGCAGCTCCCGACACTGGGAGCCCTCACTGAACAGGACAAGCTCACTGGCTCCATTAGAGCGAGCCAACTCTGTGTTAATTCACCAGCTTCCCGCACTGCTAACTGCTTTCTCCCACAACCATCCCTGGAATGGATCCTTAATGGCCCCCACCAGGGCAAGGCTGCTGCCTAGATGCCTTTATGCTCCACTGCTCACCTCTGAAGGAGCCTCAGCCCATCTCTCACTGGAGCCACAAAACACCAGTCCATGTGGCATTTGGCCACAGGTTCTCCAAGCAGGACAGGCGCATCCACAACCTCCGGGAAGCACTTGACTGAGAACCCCCAGACCTATTCTCCTACCCTCTAGCAGGCCAGGTGGAGCTCGCTGAAGTCCTCCAGCTCACCCACAATCTGAAGTGTGAGCATCGCCCAGGAAGGCCTTCCTCCTTCCACCCAGCCTGCTGGAGGGTCCTCCAAGACCAGGGCCTTGGGAGCCTGATGGGTGGCTGCATGTCCCTGTGCTCCCTTCATTCCTTCTGGGTCCTGAAGACATTTGGTGAGCACTGGCCTCACCCCTGGGTGAAGCAATTTAAGGATGCAAAGTTAAAAAAAATGCAGAATTCTGGACACCAACCAGACCTACTGGAGTAGATCTCCTAGCTATGGAGCCTGGCAATGTTCATTATAGACAATTTCCAGATGTCTCTGAGGCTTAAGAACCTCTGGCCCATGTGCTGATGCGGGCCCAGATCGGGCAGCAACCTGGGAAGGGAATGGAGAGGTCGGATATTGAATCAGCACCTCAGAGGCAGGCCATCCGTCCTTTACTTCCTACCTATTAGAGCTCCATACAGTGGCTCTGGGGACAAGGTCACCTGGGGGCTGTGACCCAGGTACAAATCACAGTGTGTGGGAGCCTCCAGTCTTCTAAAATCAGGTGATGTGTTAAAATGAACATCAGGATAGTGTTGAAAGGGAAAGCATGTTAGAAAAGGACACAGGGCCACCTGAGGAAGCTTGTGGAAGGTGGTGGGGGGCGGGGGCTGTCAAACAGCCACAGTCCCTATCCCCAAGGTGGTCAGGGCTTTCATGTTTAGCACCGGATGACAGGACTACCTTGTCTGGACCCTGGAAACCTCCATGGAAATTCACAAAGTTGGAGCTGGGATGAGAAGGGAAGAAAAGGAAAGGAAAACAAACATGATTTGGGTACCCACTGGGTGTCAGGCACTTTCATGTGTTCACATATACGTGCTAGTTACTTTTACACGTCCACCCACCCATGCAGTCATTCATCTTCACTGTGGCACGACCAGATCAATTATCTGAAAGTGACTTTGGAGCTCCCCTGGGGCGTCTAGACAATGGGTTTTCTGAGAGAGGTAGCACCAAAGGTTAAGGTACCTCTTCTCCAGGGTAGGGAGGGCAGTAAAATCGCAAAGGCTCTGAGGGCCCTATGTGCTGGGAAGCCCGCATTCCCAGACAAATCCTGTGAGCAGCTAGCACCCCCAACCCAGACTGTCCAGCACCGAGTGGTCTGTTTACTCCCCCATCTATGAGGCTGCTCTGCCTTTCTCGATTTCCCTAGAAAAGGGGGAAGCCATGGGGGAGGAGGGCCCTGGTCCTCTCCGCTGCAGTGCAGCCCGACATTGCACGTCCAGTGGCTTCCTGGACCTGGTGTACCTCCTTGTGAGATGGGAGGAATGGAGAATTTGTGGCTTTTCTTGTGATCTTTGGCCTTTTTAATTCTCCCAAGAATGTCTATACTATGTGATATTTGTCCCATGTCCTGGCACATAACACATGGAGGCCCAGAAGGACCCATCTGACATGACAGTGAGTCACTCAAACATTCACAGACACATTTATGTGCTGGGTGCTGGAGATCTGAGAAAAAGAGCTCTGAAACTGCCCCTTGGTAAGTTGGTACAGTGGATCTTTTGGTACAATAAGGGACAAAGGGACAGATGATTCCAGTACAATAAGTAAGTGGTGCTCTGGAGGCATCGATCTGGCTGGAGTGAAGGCTGTGAGAAGACGAGGATGGAGGCATGGGTAGGAGCAAGATGACCAGGGCTGTGCGGCCAGGCCTGGATGCTTGGATTCCATTCTGAGGAGGCTGGGGATGGCTGGGTCAGATGAGCACCGCAGGGCAGCTTTGCCGCAGAGCATGGCAGTGGTGGCAGGGGTGGAGAGGGTGGCCAGTGACCCAAGCAGAGATAACGGAGTCTCAAGCAACTGTAGAGAAGTGGGTGGCTGAGAAGTAGGGGATTTGAGAGATACTTTATCAAAGATGTGATTTGGTTTCTGGTTGCATATAGAGGTTGGAGGAAGAGGCAGTGAAAGAAAAGCACTGTCCCCCATCCTGAGTTTTCTAATTGGTGAATCTGAATGACAATGTCTCTCACTGCGGTAGGGGACTTGGAAGAGGAAGGGGGAGAGACATCAGTTCCGGACTGGCTTAATTCAGGGCACACAGAGGTGGGGCACGGAGGGGAGTTCCTTTCAGGGAGGGCTGAGTGCAGTGGCCCCGGACAGTGTGCGGACTAAAGAGAGGAAAGTTGAGGCTGGAATCCAACTGCGTAAGGGACAACCTCAGGCCCAGGAGAGTGCTTCCATGTCAAGACATTCATCGCCTAAACAGAGGTTACAGGATCCTGCTTCAAGATATGAGTCTGAGAGAGGAAAGGATCTTGGGGGTTATATAATTAACCTCCTCACTTGAAAACCAGGACACCAATAAGACACCAAGGGCAGGGCGGCACATGCTGAGAACAGAACCAGGTTTCCTGACCCTCATCCAAAGGGCTAGGCATCTTCTCTGGCCTCCCTGGTGCCAGGAACCTTTTTTTACTGGTCCTTGTATGTCCCCAAAGACACAACTGAGTCACACTCCTCTCACTGAGGATCTGAGATAGAAATGAAAAGGGGCCAGAGAGTCAATAAGAAGGAGTCTGAACAAGAATCCAGAGGAGGGGCAGTGCCTGAGGTGGCAAAATCTGGACACAGACACCTGTGCTGACTGCCACTCCAAAAAGCATTGTGTTCACTCTGACCTTGGGGGCATGAATGCCCTTACAGAACTGGTTTAAAAAAAACAAAATGAAAAACAAACAAAAAATTTAAATAAATGAAACAGCTTAGTTGATCCTTTCAAAATATGAGTTGTATTGCTATAGAAACATGTAAGGGTGAATATGAACGGAGTAAAGAAGGGCAACACTTTGTCACAGATGATTCCCTCACAGCTGATGCCTCAGTGACCCCGGTCCTGTGTGTACACGCTCTTTCATGGCCCTCGTCCTGAGGCCAGAGCTCCGTGGGCCCTCCTGAATTCTGAGGGGTGGCAGAGTTCTTTGAGACTGCACCCAATAGTCAGCATGGGAACTTGCCCTTTTTGTGCTCTTGGGAACTTTGGAGACCAATGGAACTTTGGAGGCCAATGGAATAGACTGCTATTCCGTGTTGAGGTTGGAAAGGATGGAGGAGGCAGAAAAACTGCAAAAGGGAGAACAAACCAAGGACTAGTCAGGGAAGCACCAGACTCTCAAGTCTGTAAATGTCGGGACTGGATTCCACAGGGCTCCTGGAGGAACCCCTTCCTCGGGGTGGTGTGGGGACTTCACCTTGTCAGATCCCATCGTTCTTCTTTGGTTCTACCAGTTCTCTTCCTCTCCCAAATGATTTTCTTCCCATTGCTTACTTTCCATGTTCATATTCTTTTCCCTTTCCTTCCTCTCTCCCTGCTCACTTCTTAAGGCTATCACTGGCAACTGAAGCCCTTGGTCACATTCCTGTCTGAAATATTTAGGAAAATTAATGGAAAGAGAGCCTCAGTTCCCAGGAATCACAACATCTTCTAAACACTTGTGGACTAAACAGTTCCCAGGAATCATGATGTCTTCTAAGCACTTGTGGAGCTAGTTTGACTCTGATGAGTATAGGCTATCTTGGTTTTCCACTTATCATTTCACGTATTCATATCTGGCCTTTAAAATACATCATAAACTTCTAGAGGACAGAGACTCAATTATCTTTGGATACTAATAATCTTGATTTGGCACCCGCTGACTCTGTGCCTTTGGGAAAGTCACTGTACTTCTCTGGGCCTATTTTCTCACCTGTAAAAAAAAACTAGATTCTTAATTTTAATTAAGAATTTAAAAAAATATACAATGCTGCTGAACCCTAG